TGTCCAGAAATGATTCTGGGAAGCTTTTAAATGTTAAAACTAGTACAGAATAAAATAAGAAAGGGGAATAACTAATTGCTCAGTGCTGAGTGTCTGATGAGAACAGAAATGGTTTAAAATACAACTGACTTTATTGAACAACAGCAGAATAGCTAGAACAACTCCCGGTTCCTCTGACAGCTTTTTATACCTGAGCTGTCAGAGGGGTAATCTCTTTACTTGTGGGGATCTCATATGATTATTTTCATGACTTCCATGAATTGGTGTAACCCTTTGGTGAAGGAAAAAGAAGTTATGGGACCCAAGTATGTCCAGCCTATCAAAGAGAAGGATTAAGGGGGATATGATAATTGTCTTCCAGTACTTATGGGGATCTCATTGTGAAGAGATCATTAACTTATTAAAGAGAGATCCAAACTCAAAGTAAAGAGATGTTTTCTGACAGTGAGAGCAATTAATCAATGGAATAAAAGTTTACTGGAGAGTTGACTTGGGAAGGTATAAAACTTTTTGAGCAGGGACATGGACTAGAAGATCTTTGAGGTCCCTCCCAGCCCTATAGCCTACCAAGCTGGTAGCCAACTCCACCTCTCATAGTAGCCAATTCCAAAGCTGAATTATACATTTTATAAAAAAGCAAAACAAACAAAGAAAACAGATTTATTTCTAGGACAAAATTTCATTGGGTGATCTTTGCTTCAAAATAATCTCCCTAAATTCTTCACCCTGTTTATAGTTTAAAAATAAACCAACCTAAATAGGTGTTTCCCAGGTTTTCAATAATTTAGAATGGTCACTTCTGATGAAATCCTGATGAAATTCAGAAGGCTACCATGCAATTTACAACTCACAAAATACATGGAAAGATCCCTAACACAAAGGAGAAAAAAAGTTAAAGCAACATTAGTACAAAATGCAGGCTTCTGGTTAATACAAAAATGTATAATTATTGAATTTAGTCATGATATGCTCTTTTATCTGATACAGATATAGGTTTGGAAGGGACCTTCTAAGTCATCTAGTCCAACGCACCACCCAAGGAGTTATTTATTTATATTGAAGAGTATTGGGCCTAAGACGGAACCTTGTGGTACCCTATTGCTTACTTCCCTCCATGTAGATGTAGAGTCATCAAGGACTACTTGCTGAGTATGGTTTGTCAGCCAGGGACAAATCCATCTGGTGCTGATGCTATCTATTCCACTTTTTTTATTGCTTACCAAGAAGTTGGCTGTCAAAAGCTTGCTGAAGTCTCAATATATTATGTCCACAGTATTTTGCTGGTCTACTAGTTTAGTCAATATGTTGAAAAATGAAGTAAGATTGGTTTGGGATGATCTGTTTTCAGCAAATCCACACTGACTTCTAGTTATTACTTTACTCATTTCTAGATGTTTTTTTTAATTATCTTTAGGCTGATTGGTCTGTAGTTTCCTGGATCTGCTCCCCCCACCTTTTTTTTTTGAAGATGAGAACCATCAGTGCTTTTCCAGTCCTCTGGTAGTTCCCTTGTGCTCCAGGATTTTTGAAAGATGTGGTACAGTGGTTCTGAGATGACATCTGCCAGCTCCTATAGAACTCTGGGATGTAATCCACAAAGTCCCAGTGATTTGTATTTATCAAGATCAGAGGGGGGTTCTGTTACTATTTTTTATGTTTATTTTAACATTTATTTCTAATCTTTTAGTGTTATGTTTTTGATAGGTTGCGCTATAATTTCTTTTTGCATG